AGATAATAATAATATTCTAAGATAATTAATAAATAATAAAATAATAAACTAATAATAAATTCGTTCTATAACAATATGATTGGCTAATCTAAACAGGACTATTTGCTAATTAAATTATTTGGTGACTAATTATATTTCTGAGCTTATGACTATATTTTCTAACTTGTCTTTTGATACTAATTCAAAACACTGTAAAAAAAAGGATTCTCATATCTGATTTTACAATAATTCCTTAATTTGTTAACAAAGTCTAACATTATCGCACAATTAATGTCAGATTATTCAAATTACTTTGGTTATTAGAAATGATCCTGTTTGTGACTCGATAATATTTAGGTAAATAGGTAGGGGTCTGTATTATTTTACCGACAATCATTTTATAGACACCACATTCACCGACAATTATTCATTGACAAGTTCATTTTACCAACAGTCTATTTCACTGAAGCTCATTTCACCAACAAGTTTTTTTTATAAATTACACTAACTTCAACTCTAATTCTAATGTAACCCTAATGATATTAACCAGAATTACATTGTCTATAAAATGGGCTTCAGTGAAATAAACTGTTGGTGAAATGTGTGTTTACAAAGTCAGTGAGTTGATCATATCTCAACGGGTAGGTACCCGGAGCTCAAATTTATGTCGCTTTAATATCTGCTTGCTATCTTTAGTAATTGATTTGAATTGGCCAATCAGAAGCCACTGGAAGTTACTGAACATCACTGGAACTTCCATTCTAGCAATAAAAATCTTCACTGGAATGGTCTAGTAATATTTGATCACTGGAAGCTATTATGCTTTCAATTTCATCCAGTTAAGTCCAGTGATCTTCCAGTTCTAGTAATTCCCACTAGAACGTTCCAGTGAACAACACTGATATTAAAGTATTATAATAAGATACTATGATTATAATAAGGTACTATACTAAGATACTATATAATAAAGTACTATAATAAGATACTATAATAAGGTACTATAGTAAGGTACTATGATAAAGTACTATAGTAAAGAACTATAGCAAGATACTATAGCAAAGTACTATAATAAGGTACTATGCTAAGGTACTATACTAAAGTACTATGCTAAGATACTATATTAAAATACTATACTAAGGTACTATACTAAAGTACTATGATAAGATACTATAGTAAAGTACTATACTATGCTAAGGTACTATAGCAAGGTACTATAGCAATGTACTATAATAAGGTATTATACTAAAGTACTATGCTAAAGTACTATGCTAAAGTACTATGACTATAATAAGGTACTATGATAAGGTACTGTAACCGAAATATTCGGTTAGACAAAGGTCAAGTAGTTTTTGGGTTTTTAAAAAGAATGTTTTCTTTTAAAAGCTCTTTATTTTAGGATAAGTATTTTAAAGGCGTGGAAGATGCCTTTTACATAAGCCTTTTTGTGGTTCTTTTTATGTATTTTGGATTTCACTAGCACTTACTCTTCTAAGTCTTTTTAGATGCAATTCTAAGACTGTGCACTGGCCCGGGTTATGCATAACGATCCTTATGCATAACAGTTTATGCGTAATGATCGTTATACGTAATGAATCGTTATGCATAACGAATTATGTGTGACAAATCGTTATGCATCATGGCGAAACTACAAATAATAGTAAAATAAATAAATAATAAATACATAAGAGAAGATACATATAAGTTTATATAGTTCTATTCTAAAGTAGAGTAAGGCGGCCAATTAAGTAGATTCACCGTGAACGGTTTTGGCATCACGTGATCTCGTGATGGCTGTAACACGTGCAGTTAAACTAGGTCAGATTCTGATTATTACGTTACACATCCCCCTTAAGTCACAAGATCCTCTGAGTGTAACTTTAATATTTCCTATCAATGATCTATAAATATGTTCATTAGATTATTTAACGGCAACTCTTTCCGGTCTTATAAGTATATAACGGGCTCCTAACTTGGACGTTCATAATATTTCTTTAGTCAATCTGTATTCACTAGATTTTTGAGGACTTTTCCTTCTACTGTTCATAGTTTGTAGGTTCCCGGCTCTCTGTAATCGTGGACGAAATAGGGGCTTCCACTTTTCTCTAAGTTTGTCGTTGTAGACCTTCTCTTTGGCTAATTCGTATAGGAGGACTTGATCACCTATTTTAAACTCTATAGGCCTTATATTCTTATCATAGTATCCTTTTTGTTTTTCTTGCGCATTTCTGATATTTTTCTGGGCTTGAAGTCATTGTTGATTCAGCTGCACGGTGATCTTTTCTATGTATTGGTCCAAAGATTGTTCCAACGCCTCTTCTGGACCTTCTTTTCTTCCCTGCAGTTGTAGATCTAGCAGGATTATAGCACTCTGACATATGTTAAGAAGAAGGAATCGTATTTGGTGGTATGATTCTGCAGAGTTCTATATGCAAAGAGAGCTGCTGGTAGCAGAATGTCCCATGTAGTCTTATGATCGCCCACCAGCTTTGCCAAAGTGGCGCATAACGTTTTATTAAATCTTTCAGTTAGCCCATTTGTCTGTGGGTGATATGTGGCTAATAATTTATGTTGGATATTCATAATTTCATACAGAGCATCAATAATTTCATTGCAGAAAAAACGTCCTTGGTCAGATAAAAGAGTTCTAGAACAGCCATGATGGCAAATTATGTCTTCATAGATGAACCTAGCAATCGTAGTTGCAGTCATATTAGGGATGGCACGGGCCTCAGGCCACTTGGTTAGATATTCCATGGCCACTACAATGTAATGGTTATTGTTCTCAGATATGTTTTTAAAGGGTCCCACTATGTCAATGCCAACCCTGTCGAAAGGTTTTCCCACATTGAGGGGGTGTAACTTTTCGTGCTGTTGTGGAGCTCCTTGACGTTGATACACGTCACACGTTTGTATATAATTATTTATGACTTTGTACATTTTGGGCCAAAAGTATTTACTCCTGGCTCTATTATAGGTCGATTCCATGCCGAAGTGTCCGGCTGTGATATCAGAGTGGAGTCCATAGAGTACCTGCTCCAATTCATCTTCTTTAATTATGCGTAATAGATATTCACTTTGTTTTTTATTCTTACGATATAATTGGTTATTAATAATGAGGTAATAGGCAGCTTGTCTTTTGAAATTTCTTTGTTGAGCTTGATTGAGGCCATCAGGAACTTTCGTGTTTTCGAGATAGGTCGCTAGGTATTGATAATATTGCAAATTCATAGTGTTCTTATCTTAATTTTTCTTATTCTTATTACTTAGATTTATAGTGCCAGGACACTGGTAACCTGGGCTGGATTGGATCCGGATTTAGGCTGCAACTTCTTATCGAATTGAGATGTATCCTTAACTTGATTTTCTTTTTTTTTTTAGTTTTTAACTCGCCTTGTATTATTTCTTATCACCTTTTTCTTACGGTGGCTTGTGGGGAATTCTTGATAGAGCGTCTACGTTGGCATGTGTTGAGCCCTTCTGATAATGTATAGTGCAAGGATATTCAGCAGCAATCATGATCCACCTAGCAAGTCTTCCAGTGGGACTAGGATTAGTTAGCAACCACTTAAGAGCTTGGTGGTTGGTGACTAGTTCAAATTCATTTCCATAAACATAGGGGCGGAAGTATTGCATGGCCTATATAGCAGCCAGGCATTCTATTTCCATTGCTTGCCTCAGGGCTGTTTAGTCCCTGACTTGCATACGCAACAACATATTCTCTATTGTGGTCGTCTTTTTGAGCCAGGATGGCTCCTAAACCAATATATGAAGCATTGGTATGTAGTATGAAGGGTTTATTGAAATTGGGGTGTCTTAGAATAGGTGCGGTTATGAGTCTTTGTTTTAATTGTTCAAAGGCATCCTGACATGGGTCATCCTATTTAAAAGAGGCATTCTTTTTTAATAGCACATTAAGTGGGTGTACGATCCTAGCGAAATTTTTGCCAAATTTTCGATAATATGAGGCCAACTCTATGAAGCCTCAGAGTTCGGTAAGGTTGGTTGGGACCAGGAAGTCCCGAACTTTCTCAATTTTAATAGGGTCTGGGGCAATTCCTTCTTGGTTTAAGAAGTGCCCAAGAAATGACAATTGTTTTTTAAAGAAACAGCACTTATCTCTGTTCAGGTGTAGTCCTGCTATTCTCAATAAGTCGAAGACAAGTTAAATGCAATCCAAGTATTCATCAAACGTTTGTAAGTGGATATTGATATCATCTAGGTATACCAGTACAAATTTTCCATTGACTGAATGAAATATTTTATTCATTAATCTCTGAAATGTGGCGGGGCATTGGTTAGGCCAAATGGCATAACTAAAAATTCGTACAGCCTATCTTTTGTGACGAATGCGGTCTTTTCGCAGTCTTGAGGGCTCATCTCTATTTGCCAGTAACCGCTGGCTAAATCTAAAGTTGAGAACCACTTAGATTTATTTAGAGAGCTTAGTATATCATCAATTATAGGTAAGAGATAAGAATCCTTTTTTGTCAGGGCATTTAACTTTTGGTAGTCTACGCAGAATCACGTTTTACCATTTTTCTTTTTTACGAGGACGACGGGGGAGCTCCATGGGCTATCGGACTCGCGTATGATTCCATATTTTAACATCTGTTCTACCTCCTTAGTAATGAACTCATTTTCGACATGTGCTATTCTATATGGTCTTTGCTTCAATGGGAGCACATCTTCCCTTAAAGATATGTGATGGACTTCAATACCCATTCTACCCAAGTGGGCAAGCCCTTCGGCAAACAAATCGTGATTTTTTTCTAGTAAATTTTCAACTTGTATCCTTTGATCTTCCTCCAATTTGTCAATTCCTTCCGGTTCCTTAACTATTCCTAATTCTTCATCTACACTGTCTACCAAACATTCTAGCACTTCCAGGCCCTCCGACAATTCCTGAGATTTAGAGCAGATATCTTCTATTTGGTCTAAACACTTTTCACACCAGCAAACGACATCCAGGCCTTTCCACCCGTGCTTAAGCTTTTCGTTATTAATATTCCTTTTTACTTCATTTCTCAATCATTTATATTGTTTTATTGGCTTTTCTTTTCCTTCTATACTAACATAATCTTCATCGATTTCAATAATTGGTAGCTCATCTTCATCTCCTCTTACTACATAGCTTCTTTCGAATATTCTTACTTCCGGTTCGTATTCCTCCTCTGATTCCTTATCATTGTCCTTGCACTCATTTACTGTGTTTTTCGTTTGACTTTCTATCGGCATTGGCAACCCTTGTTTGTACATCATTTTCTTCCAGTAAGTGATAAAGGTTTGATATTTATTACCATTCCATTCATATTCCAATACTCTATCCTTTAGATTAATATTCCCTTTTACTTTAGCCAACCAATCTGTTCCTACAATCACGGTATAGTCTCGTGCCCTGGTCACCTCTACATCTATTGGTACTTCTACCCCATTTACTTTGACAGGTAAGTTTTCTACAACCCCTAACAGGTGTTTTCTTTGTCCATGTACATCCACCAAATTCCTGGTTGATGGCCTATCTATGTCTTTTCCAATTTTCTTTAAAAATTCTTGGGAAACCAGACTTCTGCTAGATCCCGTGTCTAATATTAAATAGATAGGGTACTGATCCACAGTAGCCTCACAGTAAGTAACTTCTATAGGCTAGAGAGAAGTGACCAGCACTTCTATGGTACTACTTAATGCCAAAGGTGAAGGCAAGTTATTAGGTAACAGTACATCTAAAATGTTGTTGTATCTCTATTTTCGGCATTCTTACCCTCACGAAAAGTGGCCTCCGTTAATTTAAATGTTCCCTAACTGCATTAGAGATGGCCCCAGTTAGGTCTTCGGCAGATATAGCAAAGTAGGTTTGATTTCTATCGCTTTTATTTTAAGTAGTGTTACCTCTGTTTTGAGTATTTCCTTCGTTTTGATTTACTTTATTGTCATTTTGAGTTGTTCCAGCCTGATTTTGCTCATTTCCTACATTTCTCAGTCCATTTTGCTAATAGGACTGTTGATTATATCCCGTCTCACGACTGTTATAGTTACTAAAGTCTCGATTGGCCTACATGGAACATACTCTTAAAATATGACCTCATCTTCCGCACTTATAACATGTAATGTTGGGGTTGGAAAGGCGAACCTGGTTGGAGTTAGGTCGGGGCATGTTAACTGGCTGACCTATGGCTAAGTTATTTTTATTTTGTATCAGTGTTTTCATGCTTTGAGCCATTTCAGAAATAGCCTTTTTTAATTCACTTATTTCACTATTGGCAGGATTTTCTCTATTTAGATAACTACAGGTCAGAGAATAAGAGTTTAAGGGACTTCCTCTAGAGTACGCAGCCTCTGCTGCTTTTGCTTTCTTTAGAGCTTGCTGAATAGTGGTGGGACATTCCATTTCTACAAGTTCTCTGAGTTTTTGTCTTAACCCATTCATGAATTGCCGAATACGGTCTACCTGCAGGTACCGTTGTATTGAGTTGGCTTTTCTGTAGAGTTTTTCAAGAGCATCGTAATATTCATTCACTGTTTTACCCAATCTCTGCTGTCTTGACCGTAGTTCTGACACCCATCGATTCTGTTGATGCATGGTGCAGAACTGTTGTTGAAATAGGTGGGCAAATGAGTGTTGTGATTGAGTATTATCATTTCAGGCCCAAACGTTGTGCGCTTTAGTCCTCTATCATGTATAAGCTGTCCCTTTTAGGTGGGTAGGCAAAATGTCGAATCTTCTCTGTTCTGATACGTTATTAGCAATGCAAGCCTCATCAAACTCGTCCAACCATATAAGTGGGTCTTGGTTATCACCACTAAAAATGGAAAACTTGATCACTTTAGCTTCCCGGAGATGATTGGCATTATTTCCCATAGTCAGTATGAGATTATTCATACTCTGTAACAGCCAATCCATTGGGTTTGCCGCTGCCGCTCCGTGAGCTGGTTGAGGCTGGGGTTAAGGCTGCTGAATAGGCAGTGAATTTTGCCTTGGCGGGGGGCTTGGCGGTCGATTGGGCTGTGGAGGTTGCTGACGTCTACTTATAGGTGGTCTTTGGGGTGGTGGGCTATTGTTCTTGAACTGTACGTAAGGGTTTTGTAAGAAGTGATTATTTTCCAGTTGGGTTCTAGGTTCCAACGGATTTACAATGAGTTCATTTAGTACTTGGGACCTTTTATATCCATGAGCATATGTTCTTTTAGCTCTCTGGTAAAGGTATCAGTCTTTATATTCGTTTTGGTAGTCATTGCTCCCATATAAATTGTCCACCACTATATCATATAGCGGTAAAAGCGGAACAGAGTCTTCTGGGTCGTGAACTACAAGATGTGCATCAAATCAAGAACCATGTCATCTTGCTCAAATCAGTAAGGGGTTGGAGAGGAATAAACGTAACGAATTTGCTGATCTTCTGGTACTTCTGTCATCATTCTTGGTTCTTTGAGACTGATAAGATCATTTTCACTCCTTTTTCCTTTTTGTGATTCTGTTCTAGAATCTAAATATGCTAAACGATCTTGCCTTCTTGTAGCGGCTGCAGCTGAGGTTTCAGCATGTGGACTTGTTGACATTTTTGAGACCAATGATGCTGAAAAGTTTTCTGAGTCTTCAGATTTAGTAAACAAAATCTCTGATCAGGTTTGGGTGTTTAGTTCATTAATTTCGGGCTCTGGAAAAATAAAAAGGTGTGGGTAGCTTATAAACTGTTGTAATTTTAATTCTTTCTTAGGCAACCCGGTCCTGTCGTCATTGCCAAGTATAACTGAAATATTCGGTTAGATGAAGGTCGAGTGGTTTTTAGGTTTTTAAGAAGAATGTTTTCTTTTAAAAGCTCTTTATTTTAGGATAAGTATTTTAAAGGCGCAGAAGATGCCTTTTATATGAGCCTTTTTGTAGTTCTTTTTATGTATTTTGGATTTCACTAGCACTTACCTTTCTAAGTCTTTTTAGATGCAATTCTAAGACTGTGCACTGGCCTGGGTTATGCATAACGATCCTTATGCATAACAGTTTATGCATAATGATCATTATGCGTAATAAATCGTTATATATAATGAATTATGCATGACGAATCGTTATGCATCATGGCGAAACTACAAATAAGTGTACATTATTGAACAGATGACAAAAAATAACAGCAAATTATTTTTTTTGTCAGAATTAATGTCACTCCATGTGCTGCGTAGCAGCACATGAGTGAAATTAACTCCGATAAAAAAAAACAATTTGCTGTTATTTGTTGTAC